TACTGGACTCAGGCTCTTTCTACTCTTCTCTCAGCACCTCCCCAAAGAGTCAGGAAGTGGTTTAAGTGATTATGGTTTGAGTGCTGCCCCGAGATACGGCAGGGATAGGTGGTCACTTGTGGGGGAGGTGTCGACTTGTTTTTCTCACCGTGCTTGGGGAACAGGGGTGTGCGGTGGGCGTAGGAAGCAAGTGTGAAACCTTCTGAGCTGAGTTTTTCCTCTGAGGCTGTGGACCTCGCGTTGGTGGGGAGCTTCCCCGAGGTGTAGCGGGGTCGGCCACCTGTTCACTCTCTGGCTTCCAAGACTGGGGGTGGTGGAAGGCGACCTTGACCCCGGGGACATGCAGGTCAAGGAAGACTGGTCAGGTGCTCAGCTGGCAGCAGGACCCCTGAATGCTCCAGGGTTTGCCTCCTGCCCGCTTGCGTCCTAGAATCCCTGACATTTTAGGTACTCTGTGTTTTGCTCCTCTGCCTGTTGGATGGGGCATGATAAAGTCCTGTGGGCCACTGCTGTTCAGGGTGAGAGTGTGTGCCCAGCACTGCCTTTTAAAGAGGAACCCCCTGTAGTCTTCTGCTCTCTTTCCTGGCGGTGTCTCTCCCCCACCCCCTGCCCTTGTTCTCCCCTTTTTCTGATTAGAATAACTTGTGAGTTGGTGGCACAGCTGGGAGGACCTCCTGGCTGTGACAAAGCCCAGGATTCCCAGAGTCCCTGAGGCACCTGGCTAACCTGCTTTTCCGTGTGGAGGGATCACAGCCACAAGAACCCCAAGTCAGCAGCTTTTGTTGCACACCTATAGGTCCCAGGCACTGTTCTAGGGGCTTGACTTGGAGCATCTCATTGAATCCTCACAGCAACCCAGTGAGCTTGGTGCTGTCGTTAGAGTTGAGGCAACCAAGACTCTGAGGGGGAAGTGAGCTGCCGAAGGTCACCAAGCTAGTAAGCAGAGGCGTGGGCTTTGGGCACAGCCATCTGGTTTCAAGCTGGGGCTCTGCCCCGAGAACTGGGGCAGCAGGTGCTACTCCTCATTCTAGACTGACTTAGGTGAGCCCGGCCGCCCCAGCTCCCTTGACTGATAGAGGCTGCATCTCGATACATCCCGGGCAAGCCCACTGTCTTTGCTGCCACCGCAGAGACTGGGTCTCTAGACCCTTTGCCCCTGGGACCTGGGAGGCGATGGAATGGGTGCGGTGAGCTGGGTGTGTGCAGGGGGCGGTGGGGATGGTGGAAAGCGGAGAGCAGTGCTCTGCCACCTGGGCACTCACTGCTGTGCCCCAAGTGATGGTTCTGCATGGGACTGTGGGCCTGGTGAGGTCAGATCTCCTGGTTTTTCACATATGAGAGATTTCCTGATTTTTTTAAGTACGAGGCCAAACCGATAAGTCTGATGCGGGCCCTGGGTCACCAGATGGGGTCTGCACCCCCCACCCCCCATCACAGTGGGTGGTTCCCAGCTCCATGCTCGCCGTGGGGGTGCTTATTTACACATCAGTATCTCTCACAGATGGCGAGGGAACTCCTTGAGGCCCTTCTGTGGCCTCCCTATAGTCTCAGCACCTTGCACAGGGCCTGGCACGTAGCCGATCTCACAGCAGATGGCTGTGGACTGAGTCTGTTCCCTATTTCTGCAGAGGGGATGCCTTTGCAGGGGTAATGGCAGTGCCTCACGGCCCCCCATCTCTGTTCTACAGAATCGGGGAGTCCCAGTAAAGGGAAGTCCTATACGGGCCTGGGGAAGAAGTCTCGGCTGATGAAGACGGTGCAGACCATGAAGGGCCACGGGAACTACCAGAACTGCTCAGTCATGAGGCCACACACCCCACACTCAAGCTATGGCACCTACGTCACTCTGGCTCCCAAGGTCCTGGTGTTCCCCATCTTTGTTCAGGTGAGCTGGTGGCTGGTCCCTCGGGGGAAGGTGAGAAAGAGGAGGGTCCTTGACCCCAGGACTCGGGGATGATGCCTCATTTCCCCCTTTAGGGCAAGACAAATCGCTCCAGGTGCTCAGGATTCTAGGAGTGATACCGAGGGAGCGCAGGTCTTCAAGAGGGAGAACAGGAGAGTTGGGGCAGGGGAGCCCACAAACAAGGGGGTCCCCTCCTCGCTTCCCCCCAACCTCCCCTTTCTCTGGGGACAGGCCAGGCACACTCCAGACACTTGTTGTGCGGTCACAGGGCCTGTGTGCTGAGGCTTCTGCTTGCTGGCCCATCCAGTGGCTCATTGTTTGGAAATGTCCAGACCTTGAGGTCTGACATCTTGTCTGGGCTCTTCAGTCTAAGCAAACATGTCTGGCCAGTAGTAGCGGGTGGCCTGAGATTCACTTAAATCTCCATTCTCGTCCTTTCCTCTCCTCTTCCCTCACTTCCTCCCTGTTTCTAAACCTTTATTTCACCACCCAGACAGAGCCAGTGTGAGCATTTAGGTGTCTTTGCTGTGTGCATATACACATGGAAAAAAAAACCCCAAACAGGTCTTATTGTACGTTTTATATCCTGTGGCTTATTTATTTATTTAAAAATTTATCTTTATTGTTGAAAGTATTACAGATGCCTCCTTCCCCCTATTGTTTCCCTCCATCTGCCCCTGCCCCCCAGGCCTTCACCACACTATTATCTGTGTCCATGGGTTATGCATATATGCATATAAGTTCTCGGGTTAATTCCCCCCCCCCAACCACCACCACTTTCCCTCTGAGATTCATCCTGTTGCTTTTTTAAAAATGAAAACTGCACAAACATTTACCACATCATTAAATACTCTTCGAGCCTGTGTGGTGTAGCGGTTGCACACTGCTGTATGATATAGATGTACCCTATTTATTTAACCAGTTCTCTATGCAGACACTTAGGTTATGTCTGCTTCTTATTATAAATAACCCTGCGAGGAAAATCCTTGTGCATGATTTGCCGCTCTGATTATTTTCCTTGGAAGAGCTTCCTCGGAGTGAAATGACTGAGTCACAGGCCATAAACTTTTGCAAGGCCCTTTAGACATATGGACAAACTGCTCTCCATAAAGACTTGATTAGTTTATCCTCTTGTCAGCAGCGTAGTGGTGACAGTGTCCCAAGGGCTTCATTTCTTACCACTGTTTCCTTCTCTGGCCTTCCTGGCATCTGAGTCTAGTTCTGTCACTGTCTAGTGGATCTTAGATACACCGCTTAGGGCACCCCGACCTCTGGCAGGTGACATGCCTCTCCCAGACAACTCCATCGGGAGGGCTGCCCTTGGCCTTTCTCTTGGTCTCTTCTCTTTCTTGGGATGTAACCACAAAGGTCTTGGCATTCACAGGGGTTATTTTTTGTTTTTGTTTTAAAATGTTTACAAACAAACTAAAACAAGCTTTTAAAAAGTTATAGAAATTTTAACATGATAAAATACATACACCAAAAAATGGCACAACACTTAAGTGCACAGTTTAACACATAATTCTAAAGCAGACATGCGCTAAGATGAAGGAACCCACCCTTGCTGCCACTCCAGGGGCCATTTTATCTCTCCTCCATCAGAATGCCCGCCTTCCCGGCAGATGTACCCTCTAACCCGACGTTATGACAACCATTTCCTTGCTTCTCGTTAGTTTTACCATCTATGCGTGCTTTCCTAAATAACATATTTGATTTGGCCTCTTTTTGAATGTTATTTAATGAAACCGTATCCCATGCATTCCTTTGGGCCCCGCTTCCTTTGCTTCACATTCTTTGTAAGATCCATCCAGGTTGTTGTGTGTAGTTGACATTTGCTTCATTCTCTTTCCTCCAGCACCTTGCTTGGTGTCAGGTGCCTGGAAGCCGTGTTATAAGTATGCATTCATGAGGATAAGTCCTGCAGGCTCGTCCGAGCTTAGGGAGCTCTCCCTGAGCTGGGCAGGGATGGAGCAGGATGATGGGGTAGGGTAAGAGGTTTGGGTGAGGCCCTGGCCCATTTGGTTCAGTGGATAGACCGTCGGCCTGCGGACTGAAGGGTCCCAGGTTCGATTCCGGCCAAGGGCACATACCCGGGTTGTGGGCTCGATCTCCAGTGTGGGGCGTGCAAGGAGGCAGCCAACCAATGATTCTCTCTCATCATTGATGTTTCTATCTCTCTCTCCCTCTCCCTTCCTCCTCTCCCTTCCTCCTTGAAATCAATAAAAATATATTGAAAAAAAAGAGGTTTGGGTGAGAATTGGTTCCTGGGAACTGATGGCCGAGAAGAAGTCAGTGCGCTTCAGTGTGTCATGGATGTAGAGCAGGGGCTGGCCTGGCTTTGAAGGGACTCAGGTGACCAAATCTGGTCCAGTTTCGTATCCTGAGAGCCTGGACCTAACAGCAGGGACCATCCCGTGAGGCATGAGCAGGACAGATGGGGGAGTGTGGGGCCTGGGAAGTCCCAGGAGCCCAGTGCAGTGGAGGAGCGGGGGGCGGGGAGGACTGCAATGTGTGGTTGGACTTCCTGCCAGAGAGTGCAGCTTTCGCGGTGAGGGCTGGTGGTGAAGGTGGCAGCTACAGTTCCGCCGGGGACCAGAGCCTTTGTCTTTCTGTTTCCATCTGCGTATGAGGGGGCGTGTGGGTTCTTGGGGAGCAGGCAAGGCTGGCAGACTTTTCTGTGTCTGGTTTTGTCAAGCTGTCACCCCCTGACCCCCAATCGTCTCCATCAGGCCTCTCTGAACTGCCCACTCTGCTTTCAGCCTTTAGATCTCTGTAACCCTGCCCGGACCCTCCTGTTGTCAGAGGAGCTGCTGCTGTACGAGGGGAGGAACAAGGCTGCCGAGGTAAGGCTGACACACGCCGTTCCCAGATGGGGCGCCCTGGGGGGCTTCCTGGGCCATTCTCCAGGCCCCTACCTTTCCTGTCTTCCTTAGAATTGAACAATCTCCGGGTAGAAAATACCACAAGTCTTCCATCCCCCTCCACGCCCTCCTTACCAAACGGTGACCCAACTTTTTCTTGTACATTTCCAGCGAGAAGGAGCTCACTACCTCTCAAAGCTGTTTAGTCCATCTTTGATGGTTAGAACGTTTTCCCAGCCCCTGAAGACACCCCATTATTTGTCCTAACTTCCTCTAAGGAACAGAGGAGATGGCCATTCCTCTCAGGTGTGATGCATGGCTTTGTAGGTGAGAAGATGAAAGCTGTCAGCCAAAGGGAATTTTTAGAGGAGCATCAGTTATGCAGGTTTTGTGGGTCTGTATTAACCCAAATCCCAAATCCTCTCCTAAGGGACAAGTCTGAAATTTCTCCTGGGCTTCAGCTCTGTCAACAGAGGCCTGGGGATGGAGATCATGCCAGTCTTCGTGGGAGCTGGCCCCTGCTGATATCTGACTTGGGGAATTTCACTCACCCACACAATCCCCAGAGCTGGCCGGGTTCCAGCTCAGTCCTGTGAGCTTAAACCTACTGGGGCACAGAGGTCAGAGCCCTGGGAGCTTCAAGGCTACCTGGGAGCCTGGAAGAAAGGGTAAGGGGCTTGCTGCAGGTCAGGCCCTGACTCAACGCTGGCAGCATGGCTGGCTGGGTTGAGTGACAGCGTGGGGTAGTGTGGAAAGATCAGGAAACTTGGAGGCAGGAAGCATATAGCCAGCTCCTGTTCTGCTGCTCCTGTTCTTCTTCCTCGGTCTTCTCATCTCAGCAGTGTGTGTGTGTGTGTGTGTGTGTGTGTGTGTGTGTGTGTGTTTGAGGCAGCTGTTGTCTAAGGGCCTTTTCAGCCCAGCATTCTGGGACATTATGTGTAATTGTGGCTAAAGCAGGAGGCTGCTTTTGTTTTTTTTTTTTTTCTTTTAACAAGCAGACCATAGCTCATATATTCCAAATGAGCATCATGGCTTTCAAAGGAGCTCCCTGGGGACATTGCGAGCTTATTTCTGCCGCACTGGCATTACTCACTACATTTCTAGACCTCTTCTTGGGGAACTTTCTTAAGAACCTTGGCATATCTTCTGAGTTGCCTTCATGGGAGCAAAACTTCATCTATTGAGAGGGATTTGAATTTTAGGAATAAGTCACCTGAAACTGTGCTTGGTAAATAAGGGTGTGGGGGAACTATGTCAGGTGGCCAGGGTCAGAAAGTGAGGTGGGACTACAAACTCCTAAGATTTCAAAGAAGGCACTTAGAAATGGCAGCTGCCCTGAAATACATACACACGTCTCAATTTGCTCTTGTGTTTGTCCACTGACCATGAAGTCTGCAAACACTGAGCACTTATGATACCCTCCCTGTGCGTGCATTTCACATACCAGATCTCAGTTAGTTCTTATAGCACCCCAGGAGAGGCACGTTGTCCCCACTCTATAGATGAGGAAACTGAGGCTCCAGTGAGATTAATTGGATCTTAAGGCTATAAGGGATGGAGCCAGGATTAGCACTCAGATCTCTGGCTCAACAGTGCTTCCCACAATGCCGTGCTGCCTCTGGCTTGTTTGTTTAAAAACAAACTAGCAAACACAAGCTGAAGTCATAGGCTGATTACAGTGTGTTCCAAAGTTCTTTGCTAGTGGATCTTTGGAGCCTTAGAACCAAGAAGACTCCCTTTTGAAGACTGAAAGAAGCAATTTGAGACAAGTAAAATAAATGTATTTGTTTTTCTTGAATTATGCTAGGAAGCAAATGTGTGCGTCTTGGCATCTGTTATTCAGGCCAAATATATAAACCAGTCCAAGAGGGGCTTGAATAAGTTCGTAGACTCGCAATGCTGGTTAGTCCTCAGGAGTCGTCATTCTAATCGCTTCCCTGTAACGTCCAGCTGGTTTCCTAGCCAGTTGTTGAGTCTGCAGAGGTGGTCCCTGCAAACAGTTTGTTTGTGGTTTTTTGTTTTTTTTCATGGAGAGTGCTAAATTGTAGAAATCTCTCCCTTATGCTCAACAGGAATCTTTATTCCGGGATATCCCCCTTGGTTCTTGGTCCCGCCTCTGCTCTGAGCATGCTCCAGTTTGCTAATGTCTGTGAGCTGATCCAGACCCACACCCTGAACTGCCCTCATCACACCCCGTCCCGGAAGTCACAGACTTCATTAATGTGCCGTGAGATCAAATCAGCATAATGGAGTAATCTGATTTATACGTTCGAACAATAGGTACTGAGTGTCTGCAGTGTGGCCAGGCCCTGTGCTAGAGCTTCCAGGAGTGCTACAGGGCCCAAGACAGACACACCCTCCTTTACACACTGACTCACTGAGTTTACCATTAACTAAGGCGCCAAGGTCTTCTCCGCAAACCCTGCCCCTAGACCAGATTCCTGGAGGAGGCTTGGTTAGGTTACTTGGGAGAAGTGACCCTCCAAGTTGCGATGATTCCCTAACCAATCCCTCAGCCCTTGACCCTTTGGGAAAACAGATGTGTCTTCGGAACAAACGTGGAAAGACACCTGGTAGGCACCTGGGGCCAAGGAGATGGGCATCACTCCCCTGTGGGCCGCTGAGGCTTCTGCGGGAGCCCAGTCCGCAGGATTCTGGTGAGATGGGAGAGGGGCCCACCTGCGTCCCCTGGCACGCTTGCTCCTCTGCCCTGCCTTCAGCTGTGTGCCAGCTCTGTCCTTTCCCTGACCCGACCTTGGGGGAAATTCTTCGTTCATGCCTTAATCACTTCCTGTCTAGACCACATTTCCAGCTCTGGGAATCGGGGCCAGGGCAGCAGCCTGGGGCTTTTTGTACCTTGCCCATGGGCAGTTACCCTCTATCCAGTTCTTTCTGGCCTGGGCCATTTTTTGACTTTATAGGCTCCTAACAGACTGTCTTCTCCAATCCTTCCCCCCGCCAGCTTCCCGGTGGGTCCACAGGTGACTACCAGGTTCCCCTTGAGTGGGCGGGGGTGCCTGGCGGTTTGCTCATGTTGGGTGTTTAGAGCCTTCTTCTTTTCACTGTTTGGACTTTGAAGCTCTCTCCTCAGACAACCAACCCCTCAAATCCTTCTGAATTCTCGGGTCATTTTCTTCCCCTCCCTTAATTTCATTTTTTCCCAGTCTCCTTTGCTCCTCTTTTTTTTGGTCCCTGCTTGGATTCTTTCACATTCAGAGACAGGACAACTGTAGGCATATTGCTACCTCTCTGTATAGTGAGCGCTTCGGGGATAGCCAGACCTGGGCAATGGTCCCTGCTGTGCCACTTATTAACCTCTCTGAGCTGCAGGGTCCTCATCTCTATAACTGAGGGCAATGATGTTATTTACAAGTGCGGATCCACTGAGCAGAAATATAAGTGCTTAACAAATAGAGGCTTTTGAAGGGTTGTGTTGGGGCAGGGCTGTGGTGGGAAGGGGGTTAGATAGCATCACGGCCAAGATCCCTTCCAGCTCACGGTTCCAGAACCCTCATGTTTGGTCCCATTATAGGAGCCAGAGCCCCTGAGAACCTCTTGCCCAAGGATGCCTCCTATGGACTCTGTGGCCCAGATTCCCTCAGACCTCTGTGTTTCTGCTATGCTCAAGAAGCCGAGCGGTTCTTTGAAAAATATTTATGTATTTTTTTTAATGATAAAAGTAACAGATTTTCATTGCACAATAATGCAAATTAAGCAGAGATGTGTGAAGTAAAATCCACTCTCCAGAGTGAAATGTTAAATATAGACTGATTTATAGTTTCGTTTCACAAAATTGGATTATCCTCTTGGTATTTTTACACATTGCACTATTTTGACAGATTTCAGCTTCTGTCTACGTAGCTCTACTTTATCCTTTTAGTCGTTGCATAAAATTCTACCATATTCTATCATTTATTTTTTCCATCTTCTCTTGATGGGCATTTATGCTCATTTTTTTTTTTACCCTTCTCTTATTTATTTTATTTTACTCTTTGTTTTTACATCATCCCTACTCCCATTAGTTTATGTACTTTTTAAAAATATTAAATTTATTGATGTGGCATTGGTTATAAGGTTATGTACGTATTGGTTATAAGGTTATGTAAGGTTATTCAAGTATACCATTCTATGATACATCCTCTGTCTATTGCATTGTGGCTCACCACTCAAAGTCTAGTCTCTTTCTGTCACCGTAGACTCCCTTCACCTTCTTCAACCTCAGTTTATATCCTTTTCTTATTACAAAAATATTACTGAGAGCATCCTTGTGGGTTCATACTGTACAGCCTTGTAAATGTTTCTAAAGGGTGGTCTCAGAGGTACAGTTGTTAGGTCATCTTTAATGGTCTGATAGCTAAATGTCAACATGTTGGCTTCTTAAATTTCAGTGACAATCCAGCACACACACTCATTGTGACCCTTAGTAGCACATGCCAGGCCCTGCTGTGCTGGCAGACTCTTCTTCTTTTTTTAAAAAAAAATATTTTTATTGATTTCAGAGAGGAAGGGAGAGGGGGAGAGAGATAGAAACATCAGTGATGAGAGAGAATCATGGATCAGCTGCCTTCTGCATGCCCCCCACTGGGAATCAAGCCCGCAACCCGGGCATATGCCCCGACTGGGAATCAAACCGTGACCTCCTGGTTCATAGGTTGATGCTCGCTCAACCACTGAGCCAGGCCGGCCGGGCCTGGCAGACTCTTCTTACTTCAGAAGAGAGGAAGCATCAGATTTTGACACCTGCAAGGGAAGTTCGCATAATCAATCATCTTCTGTTTTCTTTGAAGGATCTAAAATTGGAAATTATTGCTCTTGACTAGAGGCCACTGCAGGATTTACACCAACAAAGAGCAGCCTAATCTTTTGTGGCAGTAGAGGATCAAGTGGACTTTTGCAGCACAAAAATATGCTGAGCATGCCTGTTGGTTTACCTATAATGTCTAAAAATAGCCTTCTCCTTTATTTTTGGAGCAGCTAGTGCATGAAAGAGATAACAGTTATGCGCATGTCTGTATCGGAGTGTAAGTAACTGACTTCTTAAACTGATTGCGTATAACTGCAGTTAACATTCCTGAAAGGAATTTGGTAATAGTACCTCACTTTGCACCGTGCTTCAGTTCACCGTCTGCTCGGAGCTTCTGAGGGAGCCGGGCGGGGACTCTCCCCCTGTTTGTGCAGATGAGAAAACGCAGGAGACTTAACCGAGTTTTTATGGCTTCTTAGGGGATAGAGCCTCATGACTTCTGAGTTCAAGTCCAGTGCTCTCTCAGCCAGATGTTTAGCGGAGAATACAAGCAGGTGCAGGACATCCTGCGGCTCAAGGACAGCTCTAAGCCAAGGTGCTGGGCTGGAGATCCCAGGGGCTCTTGGACAGAGCGGAGGGCCTGTGCAGCGTCAGGCTGTGGCGAGGCTTGCGGGGGCCATCTGCCGAGACGGTGAAGCTGGGTTTTTTGGTTCTGTATTCTCCTAATGTGAGGAGCGGAGCTGCATAAAACTGTAGGGCAAAGGGGTGGTCTTGACTCCAGGCCAGGTCTCTGCCCTTGGTCGAGGCCACATTGAATCTGCCTAAGAAGACAAGGACTCCTTCCCCGGGCCCTGAGGGAGGCCGTGGCTCCTGGCCTCTGGGACAGCTGAGGAGCCCGTTCTGTTTGCTCTCGCCTGACGCAGGTGACACTGTTTGCCTATTCGGACCTGCTGCTCTTCACCAAGGAGGACGAGCCGGGCCGCTGCAACGTCCTGAGGAACCCCCTCTACCTCCAGAGCGTGAAGCTGCAGGAAGGTAAGTTTATGCCCAAGGTGCCCTGGGCCCTCTCCCCACTTACCCCAGGGCCACTGCTCCGGGCAGCCTGGATGCTCAGTTTGGGTCCAGCCCCCCTGGTGCTGAGCTGCCAGCTGTCAGTGGGGCACAACATGTGTGGTCAGGTCCTGGTATACCACACACTGGTATTCCACTCTAGGCTGGCAAGCCTCCCTGTATACCCCGACCTTTGCTGGGAGGTTTCCCTGGGCTGGAGGGCGCTCACACACTGGTATTCCATTCTAGGCTGGTAAGCCTCCCTGTATACCCCGACCTTTGCTGGGAGGTTTCTGTTCCAGAGATGTTTAGGGAGGCTATGGAGCGAAGTGGGACGAGCTCTGGACTTGGATCTATGTTCAGATCTTGGCCCTGCCCCTCACTACCTGTGTGACCTTGGGCAAGTTACTTAACCACTCTGGGCCTGTTTCCTTATGTGTGAATGTGGGATACCAATAGCATTTCAGGTGGTTGTTGTGAAGCGTAAATTAGGTCATATGGGTAAAGTGCCGGACCCGCACTAGGTGCCCAGTAAATGCTAGTTGTCACCGCACTCACCACACATATCCGGGACAAGAGACCACTGCTCCTTCCCCGTTCTGCTTGATTGCTTTGGAGCACATGTGGCCGGGGGCTTGCAAGCAGGAGCACAGGGGAGTGTGGAGTGAACCTCTACCCTAAACTTTCCATCGACGGGAAGCCAGCTGGGAGTATCTGCCGAGCGGTTTGGTTTGGCGCCTGAGGTCTCCGCTGAAAGGGGCTTGATTTCCTCTCCCAGATTATGAAAACAACAACAGACCTGTTTGAGTGTGGGTGACGGGCAGGGAGGAAAATATTACCCGGCGAAAGAATTCTGTTTTGATGGGTTTTGCTCCAGGAAAACTTCCTGCCTGTTTGCAACCCAACCTGTGTGCTCAGCCCCTGCTGGCCTTCCTCCTCAGACACCAGGCAGTGTGAGAACCTCCACTCCCGCCACCCCACAGGAAGTCTTACAACTTCTTCTCTGCCTCGGCCTTCCTCCTGCCCACTGACCGGGCCAGCCACTGAGGGGAAACAGCAAGTCACCTCGCTCAGAGGCCACCCCTCCCTCGGGGCGGGCTCCCCTGACCAAGGTCAGTGGTGAGGAGCAGCCCTCTGAGCAAGTTCAGCTCAGACCCTGGCATTGCAGGGAGCTCTCATGGGAGCTGAGAGCTACTGCCCTCGGTTTCCTGCTGCTCTGCCCTTTCCTCCCTCCCTCTCACCAGCTTCCCCTACATGCCCATTGTCAAGTCCTCCCCCCCCCTGCACACACACACACACACACACACACACACACACACACACACACACTGTATAGTCTCTTCCTTCATGCATCTGCCCATCCCCAACTCAGACAGCTCAGCTGTGAGGAGTACTGGGGAGCAGTGCTTGGTAACATGGGCAGATTGATTATAGAACCGAACTCTTTTTGGGGGACAGTGCTCATCCTCCTGCGAAAAGGAGGGAGGGGAAAGGAGGGGGGCTCAAACTGGCGGTGCTTTGGGTAGAGGATGGGATGGGAGCGGCGAGGGCAGTGGAAGAGCCAAGGGTAGCAGCTGGGGGTTTGGGGTCTGGGCTGTGCTTTGCTACTAACATGCCATGTGACTTCGGCTGGCTCTTTCTATGTTCTGGGCTTCTGGGGCCAGTCCTTTGTGTCCCCTCCCAGCCCTGATGTGCCCAGACAGACCCTGAGGTGGCCGTGGGAAGCTAGACAGTGCCTGTATGTCCAGCTTCTGCCCCTCAGGGGGCCTTGACTGGAAATTGGTTGGATCTTCCCCATCTGAAGCCCCTCGAACCACGGTTTGAAGTTTGAGGCTGGGTGAACTCCATCCTCCGCTGGGTGGTGGATGGTCATGGTAGGTGGTGCGGTGCCTTGAGGCGTTGCACTGATACTTTCCAGATGCTGAGCCCATGTGAGCTACAGCCTCGTGCAGGCCTGGCTTCCTCAGGCTGGAGACCACACCCTCTCCCCGCAGATGGCAAGCTGAGGGTGGCCAAGGCCAGCATTCCTCAGGGGAGATGACCATGCTGTTAGAGCCCGTTTGGATTGGCATGGGAGGTGTGCATGTGTGTATGCATGTGTGTGCACACGTGTGCTTGCATGCCTGCCCTGGGTCTGCTGGGCAGATGGTTTGGAGCAGACAGATTGCCTTGCCCTTTTCCAGCAGTGTCGGTGAGCAAACACTGAACGTGGCTCTCCAGGGAGCCCACGGGCTGCTGAGAGCAAAGGAAATGGCTCAGTGACACCGAGCACTCACGATGCACATTCCGTTGCTTAGATTTCTTTCCAGGCATTGGTGGAGCCCTCGCCTCCCCCCTCCCCGCATCCCCTGAGACAGCCCTGTGGGTCCTGCCTGGGGTTCTCTGAGTCCAGTGACCCCTTCTCCTGCAGTCCGAGTTGGAGCTGCAGAACCCAGTGTCCTGAACCCTGGCGCCCGATTTCCTGCCCGCCTCCCTTGTGCCCCCAGAGACCCGCTGCGGAGGCCAAGGCCTGAGTGAGGCTTTTAAGAGATGCATTTGGGGCTCAGCTGGAGCTTCTGTTGCAGGAACAATTAACATCGCGCACACTCCTAGGCTTCCTGTTTCTTTCAAAATCAACATGTGTGAAGAGTTCAGTTTGGGGCAAAGAAGATGGTAAACAAGGAACACGCCCAGCTTTTCCTGCGGGCTGGGACTGGCGAGGGTTGCTCCCCTGGCCGGGGGGAATCAGCCCCACTCGGGGACCAAGGGCTCCCTCGGATGCCTTGTCTGAAGGGTGCTTGTCTCCCCTGAAAAGCACATTCCCAGGGTCTAGCATGGGGCCCAGAACGTTGTGGGTGCTCAAGGAATGTTTGTTGGGTGAACGCACGAATGACCGAAAGGAGACCGGAAGCACTGCCTCAGCTTGGGGGCTGGGGGGCTTCTTACTCGCCTGCCCTCCTGTCCAGCTTCCCCCAAGCTTCAGCGGGGCTGCATCGCAGTGTGATGGGAACAGGCGGAGAGCTGGCGCTAACAATCGGGACATCTCCGGTCAGCCAGGGCCCATTGTGGCCTCTTCCTGCTTCTGCCACCCACTGACTTTGCACTGGCTCTTTGTGTTTCTGCCTCCCGGGCGGCCAGCATCCCGCCCACAGTGTGTCTGTCTTCCTGGCCTGCTCTGTTCTCTCAGGTTGGCCTGGAAATGTCTAGCTGATTCTTGGGCTCTCTATCCACGCTGGGGAGCCAGGTGCCCAGCCTTGAAGGTTCAGCCGCCGAGGTCCCAGCCACTGGAATGTTTGGAGAGAAATGTAGTCGGTGACCTTTTCTGAGCACATCCTCAGAGTCCACCTCAGCGCTGGCTGCCAGGGGGTGTGGAGGAAGGAGGGCGTTTCCACCTCGGGAGCACACGGCCGGTGGAATAACAGAGAAGTAAACTGGTTTGGGGGCAGAAGTGTGACACAGTGGTCAGAACACAGGCTTGGGAGGCAGGGAGTCCTGGGTTCAGATCTCAGCTCTCACTTTCTGACTGTATGCCGTGTACAAGTCGTGTTCCCTCCCCGGGCCTCAGTTTCTGCATCTGGAAAATGGAGACAAGAACCCTCTTGGCTTGTCTCGCAGGGTGGACAGGCCTTGGTGAATGGCCGAGTTTGGGATCCCAGTCCAGGCCTGAGAGAACTTTGGGAAATGACTGCAGGGTCAGACCTGGGTGGGAAAGCCCCGCTGGGCCCTACACAGACCCTGACTGGGGATCCTCCTAACGGACCCACACATTCATTAGTGGGAAGCAAGGCCCACCCAGGAACCAAATGACTCCTTGCTACATTTCAGCATGGCAAAAGCATTTGGAGCGTAGAAACCCAAATGCCCCTGTCCTTTTCCTTTACGCTCACCCCATGTCCACACTCTGGAGAGTCCAGAGCTCAGTCGAAGGCAGCGGTTCTCAACCTGTGGGTCGTGACCCCTTTGGGGTCGAATGACCCTTTCACAGGGGTTGCCTAAGACCATCGGAAAACACATATATAATTACATATTGTTTTTGTGATTAATCACTATGCTTTAATTATGTTCAATTTGTAACAATGAAATTGGGGGTCACCACAACATGAGGAACTGTATTAAAGGGTCGCGGCATTAGGAAGGTTGAGAACCACTGGTCTAAGGTTCAGAAGGGTTTCTGGTGGGGCTGTGGTCCCTCCTGGGTCAGCCACCTTGCAGCCTGCTTTCCCACAGCTGCAGCTCCTTGCTGGCACCCTTGGCTCTGGAGGCTCATCATCCTTTTAGGAGGCTCTGAGCCATGCTGAGTGCTGCCCCCATTCTGTCTTTCCCTCCAAGGGCTGCCAGCACAAGGCCATGAGGCGGAGTTGACTTTAGTGAAGGGTTGGGGTCATGCAGGAGGGCGGTGGTGGGGTGTCACAGCACAGAAATGTGGTCAAGGCAATCGTCAGCTGTCCCTCATCATCGGGAACGTGTCCTAGGCTGCATTCCCCCAACCTCGGCCTCCTGTGTCCCTGAGGCTCCCAAATCCTGGGCTTTCCCCTCCCTGCTACATAGAGCCTTCTCTTCTCTCAGTGCTAGCTTCTAAACCCAAATTTCTGTTATTTTCTTACTTAGACCTCTTTGTTTCTCCCTTGGCACTAAGGTCTGCTCTGGAAAGCCAAGGAAACATCCCAGTGTGTTTTAAACAAAAGAAACCAGCTCCCTTTGTTCCCACCCTCAGCAACACAAAGAGCTGGCAGAAGCTTGGAAATGATGGGGTCCTTAAACACGACAGATTTCTTATCAGGGCTCCCTCCCTCCCAGCGGTATGGAAGGGAGCGGCCTCCTGGGATGGATGAGAGCTCCCTGAACCTGGCTGTTTGATGCCCAAAGCGGGCTCCTGGCTGCCTCGTGGGGGTGCAATCCCAGCGTTCCTCCAGTCAGGCTGACCTGCAGGCAGAGGCCTTCCAGCTGTGTCCCAACCTGCTAGTCACTAAGTGGCATTTGCCCCAGAGACTTCCCTGTCTCCCGGGCCTGCTCCTTTCTCTCCAGGAAGCACCACACAGCCCTCTGGGTGAGACCGTGCTTGAGCAAACTGCTGAGACAGTAGCCAATTCTAATGCAAGCCTTACTGTTTGTTCCCAAAGGTCCCTCGGAAGACCTGAAATTCTGCGTGCTCTATCTGGCAGAGGTGAGTCCTTCTCTCTGCCTTTGAGGAGAGATCCGTGACCTGGTGCTTGAGAGGAGCTGCTGGGATAGGTTCTAGGGCAGGGTTCTGATGCCGCCTCCATCCCACCTCGGGTGAGTGGTCCTGGGCAGGTCTGGCATGCCGGTTTCCTGCTCGTTATGACAGGCAACAGCCGGCCCTGCCCCTGTGTCTCTGACCTTCGTGTAGAAGAGCAGAGGACGCTGACCTCCTGCTCAGGACCCCCAGGTCTCCAGCACCTGCAGGGGTCACAGTGACAGCTGCCCATCACCCGATTTATTTGGGAGCCTCTCCTAAGGGTCTTGTCAGTGTCTGAAATGGCCCAGAGGTCACTGTACCTTTACCTGAGCCAGACAATACAGGTTAAAGAACACATCACGTGTCTGTGTTTCGGGCTCAGTGTGACTGGTAGTCCTGGTTATCTCAGTCTGAACAGAAGCTCAGATGGGCCCTGGTAGGCCTTTGCTGAGCAAAATTGGTCAAACAGCTTATTGCTTAATATGGTTTGGGAGATAAAATTTATCACCAAACCAGGGCTTTCATCAGAGGTTCTTGGTGGTGAAAAAAACTGAGAGCTACGACTGAGCCATCAAATTCTTTTCCATTTTCAGCGAATTTTTTATTTGCAACCTGTGTCTCTGCTAATATGAGCGGGGGCGCTCTCTGTCCCAAGCAAGGGTTCATTAGACCCATACCTGCCCTCTGCTTCTGCTTAAGTCTGTCCCGCCCAACAGTCCTGGGAACCTGGGAAAGTCTACACTGGCCTCACCCTGTGGGTGGGGCCTGGTCTACTCCGGCTGGCCTAGAGGAGGCCGCCCTTTTGAGAAGGAGTGTGTGTCATTTGTGATTGAAAATCATTCCTTCAGTTCCTGGCTAAGGTAAGAGGTGCAGGCCTCTGGGGAGAAGACGTTTTGATGTTAGCTTCAGGGGAGAGCGGAGAGTTGCAAAGGACAGTGCACATCGTCAGAACTGAGCTGGGGATGCCGGCTGCCTAGAATGGCAACCCGAGGGCCAGAAGGCAGTGGACATCCTCCCCTGTGTCAGCACATCCACCAGGCCCTGAGAGTAGCTGGCAGAGGCACTGCAGAGGTAGCTGGTGTTCAGTTCTGCAGAGCACAGTGAGCAGCTTAGAAGCTGCGAGCCAGGCTGGGAAGAGCCAGAGCATCGGCCCCTCCATGCCCACCCCTCTGGATCCCCATTCCCTCCGGCAGGGCCTGAAATGAAGCTCCACGTTCTTTAATGCCAAGAGGGCTTCCTGCCAAGCTGGGTTTGTTTTTCCCAGAGAAAAGTACTTCTGCTCATTCGTTTCCTGGGAGCTGTGACCTCCTAGGCTCCAAAGACTGATGAAGGGATATTGATCTGGGGCCTTGTATTTCAGTAAAGTGCCAGGTGATCTGACCCCACGGGGCTGGGTATGGAAGCTCACCACCAGCCAGAAGCCTCTCTTTTCTCTTAATGGGCTGCTGCATGTGAGAGGCATGTCCGTGATGAAGGAAGACGAGAGAGGGCTGCTTGCTCTGTTCCTTGGGACAGGCCTGACACGGTGGTTCTGGACCCCACGGAGAACCCAGAACTCACATCTTAGTTGGAACTTGTGACAAACGGTTTCGTTCCATTGCCTAACAGGCATGTGGTACCCAGAGAAGAAACCAGGGCCAGCGGGTCAGGATTTGGAGAGGGTTTTCCACTGCCCTGAGGAAGCCCCAATTGCCTGCGTGGCAGCTGCTCTGACTGTGCCCCAGCAGCAGGTCCTGGGTGGGTTTCCCCTCAGCAGTCGTTGGCTCTGGGGTCTCTATCCCCCTGGACAAATGTCTCTCAGCACTTGCAAACCCATGGAACAGATGCAGCCCACTACTGGCTTCAGAGCATCTGGGGCATTGGGTCAAAGTGCACGTTGGCTCGGGACCAACGTGGCATCTGATACTGGCTCCATTAATTTCAGTCTGCACTTGGGGTAAAGAAGACCTGGATTTGAATCTTGGCTCTTCCCTTTCCTACCTGAGTGGTCTGGGCAAGTTACATACTCATCTCTGAAACAAGGCCGATGAGGCCTACTTTGCAAGGTTTTTGCAGTGATTAAATGAGATGCATTAAGATACGGTGTCCAAGGCACTTAGCTCAGAGCCCGGCACACAGTGAGTGCTCAATAAATGGTCGCTGTTATTTTGTCAGCTTCATAACAGGAGGAGAGCTTTTTATATTCATTTCCTCTCCATTAGAGTCACTGACCTTTGAAAAAGGAAAGTTAAGAGGAATATCTCACATTCTTTGTAATTAATGTACATACGCAGTTATACAAATGTGGCAAAGTCACAGGCTCTGGGGGAGGCGGGAGACAGACTTTGAACGCCTCCTCTCCTGAGATCTCCTGGAGCTGCCAACGTGACCTCTGTGAGCCTCTGTTTTCTCATCTGAAAAAATGGTAGCAGCAGTGCCTTCCCTGCCTCCCTAGGTGACAGGGTCATTGGGGGAACTGAATTAAAAGAGAGAACGTTTGTCAAAGCAAGTGAACAAACGTAAATTGGAGAAGAAGAGGTTTTCGTTTTTACAAAGATAATAATTTAGGAACAAGGCGGTGAGGCAAGACGGGGCTTTTAAAGAGGCCAAGAGGAGCTGGGTTTCTGGATGGCTTGGGGATGCTCATGTTCGAATGGAGAGGGCTGGGCCCGGTGCTGCTTGGCTAAGCTCCCTGAAGTCTAGAGGCCCCTCTGTGAATGAGTTATGTGAGAATGCCTGCAGGGTAGCTTACACCCTTGACCCTGGAGCCTGGTACTGAGGGCAGTGTGTGTATCAGCTTGCAGCTGATGGGTTAGATCGCACAATGGATTAAGAGCAACAGGTTCACATCCCGCAGGGGCAGCCAGGGCAGCACTGGGGTCCCCGCTTTAGACAGACTTAGGCAGATGGCCATTCAGCCTCCCTGGCTCCGTGCTGTCACCCTTGGCCAGTCCGGCCTCAGAGCTCTAGGCAGCACCTCAAGAGGAGCCTGGGGAGCAAGGGCTTCCTAATAACGTGTACCCGTCTAAGACCACTAGCCACCGGGCCGGGCCTAGATTTAGGGCCTGAAGAGTAGAAGCTTTTCTTGAGATCGTGGATGGCAAAGTGCTTTTTAAAACTGGTAATGAGATAAAAGGAATTATTATCATGGCAGAATTTCTGCTTCAGAGCTGAAAGAGACTCAGGGAGATTAAAGGATTTGCTGAAATCCAAACAGCAAGGTAGAGGCAGAACCCAGGGGGCTCCTGCCAGGGCCAGCTTTGTGGAGTGATGGCCTTTTCCCTGCCTCACCCCTCCCCTCGCAGGGGAACACAGTGAGACTGGGCGCAGACGGCCTGCTGGTTGTCTCCCGCTCCACCTGACTTCTCCATGGGGCATCTTGGGGTCTTTTGCTGGGTGTGTCCTACCCTGTAGTGGGCTGGGGGTTCTGGGAAGTGGAGGAAACCTGTGGTTAAGTGATAGGATTGCCTCACCCAACCACCCAGTTCCCAGAAACCCTGGGGGGCAGGGCTTTCTTCTCTTTCTCCTCTGATGCTTTTAGGAAGATCAGCTTCTGAGCACTTTTGAGCTGGAGAGTAATTGCTACACCCAGAGAACACTTAACATGGGAGGTGTCCTCACCCTGAAGGGTGGCACCCCCGAGGGCTGCGTTGGATGGCAAGGTGGAAAATGTTCCTAAATGCTGTTAGAGGATGCCGTAACCACCCAGCTCAGAGCCTTTGCATTTGCTGTTCCTTCTGCTTAGAACAGTTTCTCCCAAGCACTTTCTTTGCTGGCTCCTTATTGTCCCAGCCTCGCTGGAGGGCTGCCCCTTCAGAGAGGCCGCCTCTGGCCACCGGCTCAAGTAGGCCCTCTCCCTTTGTGGCCTTTTCACAATTTGTAAATATATTGTTTATTCGTTTATTGTCTGCCCCGAACCTCAGGGCAGGAGCTCTATTTCTCCATTTTCTCCTTTACCCCCAGGGCCTAGTACAATCCGACACTCAGCAAGCGCTCAACAAATATGTATTAAATGAAGGAGTGATTGACAACAGCAATATCTGCTGTTTATTGAGGCCTGAGATGACCCTCTTCACTTGCCTCCCAATAGCCCTGAAACGTGGGCGATAGCGTGATCGTTTCCATTTTACAGACTTTCCTGAGGTCAGCAGCTAGGAAGTGGCAGAGCTGGCATTCAGACCAGGCCTGTTCCACTGCACAGCAAGGAAGGACTGCATACAAACACCGTCTTCTCTGTTTCAAGCCGTCCAGCGTGTGCTCTTAGCTCCCTGGCTGAGTTCATCTCATCGCAGCCCTGGGAGGTTATAATCAAATTCCAGCGGAGTCAGAAAGCTCCTAATCCCCTGACCGGAGTGTGCTGCAGTGGATGAGAGCGCTGGGCGTGCTGTACCGCCCCTCCCGCCCGGCACATTCTGACTGCCCAGGGCTCACTCCCTGGGTCTCAGCAGCTCGCTGGTGCTCAGGCCGGGCTGCCCTGGCTTTGACCTCCTCCCGGAAGTCCCTCCGGGGAGCCAGAGCTTACCGAAGCATTGCTTGCCAAGCACGGTGCTAGGTCCAGATGAGAAAGGCCTTCCAAGAAGGAGTGTCTAGTCCGGTTGGGGAGATGAGACTGCAGCACTTAACGAGGTTAAATAGCAAAGCGGGATTTACATGACAGCAGAGCCAGAGACTGCTGTTGCACTCAGGGGAGCTGAGCAGTCATGGATCAGACCCAGCTCATAGGCCAGGCAGTAGTGGGGCTAGAGGCCACATGACGGCGCCTACTGAAGACTTGCCAAAGGCTTCTGTTGGTGTGCCATCCAATCACCCATCTAACCTTGGCTTGGTGACTAGATGAGTGTGCCCTGGGTGGGAGAGGGGGTCCTGTGCGCTGGAGGAGGGGGGTCCTGGCTCCACAGAGCATCAGAAGGCAAAGACCTTGGCCCTCTGGGTTCCCCACACGCTCTCCCAGCTGCTGCTTTGTGCTGCCTGTCCCCGGGGGTGACCTCACCATTTCTGTTCTGTGGCTCTCCATAGGCCTCCACTGTGCTGGGAACCACTGCCTCCCTCCCTTCCCCCAACCTGTGGGCACAAGGCTCGCCAGCTGGCCCCCGAACCAGCTTCCCTGCTCCTCCGGTTGCCTCGATGCCACCGGGGATTCGTGTGCATTTGTGGCTTTTAGTGGGCACTCCCCTCCCTGCTGCAGCCTCGCCCTCTGGAGCCCAGGGATGGGCTCGGGCCTGGGAGCCCCCAGAACCTGGGAGCAGCCCTGACCGTCCCTCTCTCTGTTTTCCCTGACGTCAGAAGGCAGAGTGCTTATTCACTTTGGAGGCGCACTCGCAGGAGCAGAAGAAGAGAGTGTGCTGGTGCCTGTCAGAGAACATCGCGAAGCAGCAACAGCTGGCGGCCTCGCCCCCACAGAGCAAGGTAAGGGTGTCGCCAGGGGCTGCAGCCCCGGCTGCCCGGCTTCCCCTCAGGGGCCTGGACCCTGGAGCCTCCGAATCGAGCTTGGGACCCGTCTCAGCTCAGGACTTGGATCTGGACAACGAGCTCCTGGCAGGGAGGCCTGTGCCTGAACGCCTCTGCCCCTGGGCCCCTCAGTGGGGCTACCGAGTGGGTTTCATATTGCTCGGGTAGAGTGACAGAGCCAAACTGAGCATGACCCATCAATTCTCGGCTCTGTTCTTGGGTCTGCCCATGGCAAGGTCTAATTTGGACTGGCCTCCCTGCTGCTGCCGGGCATGTGGCGCCTCTCTGCCGTTGGCGAGCTGTGCCAGGGGCAGCACACTGGTGTTTAACGCTGGCCCAAGGCAGACATACTTGGGAGGGGATGTTCGCGGCAGACGCTGCTCTAATTTGAGCAGGTCACAGCCCACTGGAGCCAAGTGGAGTTTGCTGGAGGGGTTGGCAGGGGGTGGGGGCAGCCAACTGGAGCATCAGGGGAGATGAGAGACCGCCATCTGAGGCTGCCCTGGAGCAGGCCCCTCAGCTGGCCCCGTGCCTATGGAGGGGATAGGATGGGAGCTGACCTTTGTCCCCCGGGGGCCAGCCACAAGGCACGGCTGTATTTCCCCATGTGTGAGTCGTCAGGTACTTCTCTTGCTGAAGGGTTGGCCGTTTGGGGATTTGGTCTGGTTGGCCGCAGGAGCCAAGGTGGTTGGTCTGCTGGACGGGGGAGAAGAGGATAATGGAGGGTAGCTGTCTGTAAACTCCCTGGCCTTGTTGTTTCTTCCTGATGCGGTTAAGCCCATCGTGCCCTGGGCAGCAGGCATATGGTGGGGGCAGTGGCGTCTGCTGAGGGCAGAAGGTGGGGGAGAGGTGTCTGGGCAGTGGTGCACAATCTGAGACCTGACAGCTATCTTGTTTCACACCAGCCGGGGGCCAGGATAACTTTGATGAGGGAGGACTGTGGGAAGAGCATGGACTTTGGTGTGGCAACCTGCTGCTGACTGGTGGTGTGGCCTTGAGCAAGTCACTATACTAACTTAGAGCTTTGCTATCCTCCCTCAAAGGGTTGTTGTGAGAATTAAAGGAGATGTTGCATGTACAGTTCATAGCACAGTGCTTGGTATGCAGTAGGCACTCAGTAGCCGTGGGCAGTGCACTGCCCCCGCCTCCGTCAGGGCTGCCTGTTGCGTACTGGCTGGCTGGTTCCCACAGTCAGATTCTTACTGAATAGAGACCCATGGAGGCTGGAGGCTGGAGGCTGGAGGTTGGAGGCTGCCGGCTGCCTTGAGCTCTTGATCCCGGGTTGGTTATAGTCAGAAGCCAGGCCACTCCCTATTCACTGGGGCAGCCCCTGGGGTGTTGCATGGCCGAACTCATGTCCTCCAGGTTTCTATGTCTTGGGCTTAACTCCTTCTGGTTCAGGAGAAAGAGTTCTTTCTGCCCAGCTTCAGAGTTCCTGGGCTTGGAGTGTGTTCGCAACAGCCTCTCAGTACCTTGGGGAGGGTCGAGACTAAAGTAGCTTGCGTTTCTGAGACACACTCTGGTCCCTGCAGGGTTGCGGGCTTGGCTGACTGAGCCTGGAAAGGCCCCGGGCTTTGGGGCCCGGCTTCTGGGCCACACCAAGATATATGAGCATCCTGGGCAGGCAACAGTTGGTCGCCTCTTCAAATCAAAACTCCTTAAATGTGTGTCTGATGGACAAGTTGTATGCTGGGCAGGAGAAAGGTAAAGAAGGAGAGGCCAACCGCTGAGATAGTCTCAGAACTGCCTCTTCCCCTGAGACCTGGGCCCACCCCAGCCTTGCACACCCCACTTGGCCCACCCTCCTTAGGAGACACTTGTGTAATCATCTTATTCGACGGGCCCCTTGGGGGTCTTGCTGCCCAACTTTACCCACTCCCACCAACACACTAAAGAGTCTTAGCAACTTACTTCTCCTGTGAGTGCTCCCTGAGGAAAGTTTGGTCAATATGATTTTCTCCAGCCCCATATAGTTGTGGCAGGGCTTTAGGAACCTTAAATTACTCGGCCCAGATGGCTGCCTCCCTGTGCTCAGCTCCATCAGGTCCTGGCAGCCGCAGGTGACTGTGAACTCCTTGCCAAGGGCTGGGCCACAGCCTTTCCATGAGGGTTGCTGTTCTCCAGGGGAGAGAGAAGAGGGAAGGCCAAGCAGGGCTCAGACATTGACTTCTTGCTTTTTAAGCAGAGTCCTGCTTGACCAACTTGTCCTGACTGAGCAGCACGCCTTTCTTCATGTCTTTTCTTTGTTCTTTCTGGAGTGCTCCGCCTTCTGCTGCATAATGGAAGGCACTGCCCAAGTCACCACCCTCCTCCCGCGCCCCCCCCCCCCAACTCAAATGCCTCTCTGGGGAAAGAGGGGTTATCAAGGCAACTCCCTACACTCCTATGCTGCCCCTTCTCAACCTCATTCCTTTCACCAGTGTTTGCTGACACCTTTGAATGGAGATTCTTCAAACATTTCAGAGAATGCAAAGCTTTCCCCATTTCGCAAAACATAATAAATGCAATGTGCCCTGAATGTGAATCGTTGGGAAGGACGGAGGGAATTGGAGCAAGATGGAGTCAAAGGAGGGTAGAGAGGCACTGCCTGCGGTGTGTCCTCCTCCGGGGTTCCATCTGTGCATTGGTCTGGTGGCTCTTTCCAGCTCTTCAAGCTTTGCGATTCTGGTCACTCACGAGAGCTGAGGACCTGGGGTCATCCGGTCTCCAGTCGGGAATTATACCCTAAAGATGTGGCATTACTTGACTGCCTGTGAAATCTGCTGTCTTAGGGGCCAGGTCTGTTTCTCTCTTGGAGGTGGGAAGGGGCAGGCACAGGCTTGCGGTGCTGTCTTTGAGGTGCCTGTGGCCTGTGGGGTTGCAGGGTGGGGGTTCCAGCTGTGGCAGGGTGGACACAATGAGGCCGGCAGCAGGTGGACTGCATTTCTCCTCTGGGGAATCCACTGCCTTTTTCTTGCTCACTATTAGCTGACCACAGTAGGTAGGAGGCTGCTGGGGCTGGCCTGCGTGCTCTCCATCTTTCCGTAGAAATACATGGCTCACTCCCCCCACCCTCCCAGCCTCTGTCTTCTGCTCACCACTCCCTTCTTCCTCGTGATCTGTCCCCTCTCTCGCTTCATTATCTATCCCTAGAGGGAACCTACCTTTCTTCTTCCGCCTGGGATACCTTTTACTGAACTCCCTGCGCAGGGCATGCTGCCATGCATCTCATCTAGAAGAACTCAGAGGTGGTCTTCCCCATGGCCACTGAGGTTCTAAGCTAGTAAGTAGGGCAGACAGAGACACATGACTTTGGTTATTCAATCAAATATACATAATAATTGCCTGCTCTGTGCCAGACGCTTGTTTAGGTCCTTTGGGGTCATGGAGATGTACAAGACCTGATTCCTGTCCTATGGAATTTTCCTTTAATTAGACCAGTGGTTCTCAACCTTCCTAATTCCGCGACCCTTTAATACAGTTCCTCATGTTGTGGTGACCCCCAATTTCATTGTTAGAAATTGAACATAATTAAAGCATGGTGATTCATCACAAAAACAATATGTAATTATATATGCGTTTTCCGATGGTCTTAGGCGACCCCTGTGAAAGGGTCCTTCGAACCCCAAAGGGGTCTCGACCCACAGGTTGAGAACCGCTGAATTAGACAGCCGTGACAGGGACCAGAGTGGCAATCTGACTATTAAAGGCGGTGCCTGGTGGATCCTAAGAGCCGTCTAGTGGGGTCATGGCTGCACATTTGTCATCCGTTCCGTGAACCACCACTGAGCCCACCACGTGTACAGCTTTGGGCTGGGCACTGGGAATCCTCTGAGGAGGGTAGGCTTTTGACTGAGCCATCAGGGATGAGAAGGGGGTGCGGTACAGCCTGTTCTACTCTGTTCCCAGGGCACGCCCTGGGCATGATGGTGGCAATGCATGGATGAATCTGTCACGCTCTTTCCTTGCGAGATCACAGTCCAGCGGTGGGCACAGATATGCCAACAGGTCATTCAAAAATAGCATAGCAAGCGATAAGGGAGATACAAACTTTCCCACTCTGCGGCCTCAGGCGAGACACTGAGCCACTCTGAGACTCAGTTTTTTTTTAATCAGCAAAGTAGATGGATTAATAGGGTTCTTGTGAGGATTAGGCTCATGCCATGTGCTTAGCAAAGCGGCGCACAAGAAGAACTCTGTGAATTATGATGATTAATCAAGTCATGTCTATATAGGAAGATTCCTCTAGTGGCCTTGTTTATTGAAGCTGAATGCTGCTGTTCTGAGCGCCTGTGACGACTGCTCCATGTCACTTCCTGTACCAACTGCTGTATTCCAGGGCTCAGGCAGGGAAACTGAGGCCTCCTGGGTCTGTTCTGGCTGTGAGACTTTTCCCAGATGTGGTGCTGAGGTGTGCCACCTTGTCATCTCTACTGGGCAGCTAGACGGGGCCCTGGAGATGCCAGGATCTGTCTCAGCACCGTAGAAAGGAGCAGGGGCAGGTTCTGGAGTCGGGCAGCCCAGGCCTGAGTAGACAGCAAGCTAATTCCAAGGGCCCTGGAGAGGCCAGGATCTGTCTCAGCGCCGTAGAAAGGAGCAGGGGCAGCCCAGGCCTGAGTAGACAGCAAGCTAATTCCAGTTCTGTCTGGTTCCACAGAAACTCCACCCTTACGGCTCCCTCCAGCAGGAGATGGGGCTGGCCAACTCAACCAATGCCACCCAGGATAGAAGCTTTACCTCATCAGGACAGACTCTGATTGGCTGAGCAAACCCAAAGGCCGGACTCTGCTTCTGGCAACTTAACCCTTTCTTGGGCATCCCCTACCACACAGTAACCTCACCTCAACTGGACCCAAAACTGAGGACCAAGATGGTGGGCCTAGGGTCATCTGGAGGGAGCAGCCCCACAGGTGTGTGTGGACTGGCATCAGAAGGACTGCAGTGGTGTGAGAGGCCCTCAGGGCACCTGCAGACTGGCA